GGGTTTGAGATATATGCTGCAATTGATGCCTATTCTCGTTATATTATCTGGGTTTATGTTGGTATTAGCTCCCGTACGACTGTCAGTGTTCTCCGGCAATATCTGGATGTCGTTAAAGTTTCCAAAAGACAGCCTCGTTTTATACGGTCTGACCGAGGCACAGAGACTATTTTATTAGCAGAGGCCCATTATAAGCTTCAACAGTCTAAGCATCCAGAAATACAGATTTCTGATTGCTATCTATATGGTACAAGTACAGCAAACCAGCGAATTGAGTCCTGGTGGATGCAGTTAAGTCGTGGGCTAATTTTTAAATGGCGAGTAAGTATATTCATTCTTATTTTATTTACCCTAGAAGATGCTAATATCATACTAGAACTACTTTCATCGATTACAAGCAATAGGAGCATATTCAAAAGATAATATTGTTGATCAAATTGCCTTATATGCTATCTATATGCCTGTTCTTCGGTTTGAGATTGCATCTTATATACGTACCTGGAACAGCCATTCAATACGAAAGCAAAAGAACCGGCCATTTTCAGTTTCAGGAAAGCCATATATGAACTATAATCACCCTAGTCCAGGTGTTTCAGATCATGGATTAGAATTTGACGAAGAGTTACTAGTATCTCTACAAGATGATGTCTCTGATTGGGGTAAGTTTATAAAGATTCCCAGATATTACTGCATTCTAACTTATATAATAGACCCAGACGAGTATCTACCTTATACTACTTATCAGTGGACACTAGCCCAGCTTCTTGAGCTTGGGTTTGACCCTCGAAAACCACCAGTAAATATTGGGGATGATAATTTATCTCCATATTACCGGGTTTACTTGAATCTTCGGGTCCGAATTCAGGCTCATATACAAGATAATGCAGAACCAGTACTTGCATTATCTCGTCCACCACTAGGATCATTTAACTGGGAGCCTGTATTAAATCAGAATATACCTGAGATAGAGGTAGAATATGATACTGAGGCACAGGCTAATCCTCTTACTGAGTTAAGAGATAGCTCTCTAAGGCCGGGGTTTATTGAGACTAACTAGATTAGCTCTAGTTAAAGGAGAACCGAGAGGTCCCACAGATACCCCTATTTTTCTTAAATATATAACCTATCCCACCTGGAATAGAAGAAAAGTTAGTGCACGAAAAAACTTCTTTTAGTATTATCTTTAAAAATGCCTATTACACCCTTTTGTCCCTATACACGGAAACGCCATGTCAAAGATAAGAAATGCTATAGCTGCTTAGCTCTTAGGCAATCTCCTCTAGATTCATCTTCTCCAGAGCTCTCTTCTCCAGAGCCCTCTCCACCTAAACCAGAAAAAAGGTCGTTATTAATCTTATTGATTCATCTTCACCAACAACAAGTCCTGCTCGCCCGACAAGTCCTGCTGGCCGGATGAATCCTACTCATCCAACAAGCCCTACTAGCCTGACAAGTCCCGCTGGTATTAGGGTTTTTGTCTCCCCAGAACCCCAGATACCTAAGAAACAGAGATTCAGTCACTATAATCATATAGCAGAACCACATCGCCAATCTGCAATTATTCGGGCAAAGCCAAAAGTTACTGGTTCTCCGCTAGCTATTACTGCTTCGGTGATATTCTATTTACTGGAACAAACTGAAAACAATGGTATTCTAATGGCAATGGCCTGTATACCAATAGGTTAGTTTAACTTTTACTCTTATATCTTATTGATCTAATTAATATATATCTAGGCAAGGTTACAGTGAAAATCTACCCTCGTACAATCTCCAACTTTTCCGATTTTATCGAAAACGACCTCCTCCCTGCGCTCCATGAGAACAGATACAAACCGCAGAAAGGGGATACATATATGCTTGCTACAAATGTACACAAGAATGAGCCTACATATGTATCTCAGATCGAGGATACAAAACGCCCTGCAGATGATCTTCTCCGCGAGTTCTTCCAATATAAGGAGAATGGCACAATAGCTCCTATTCATGTTATTATTGAACGACAAATAGGTTGCGAAGATGAAGTGGATCTTAAGCAGAAGAAAGAACTGCAAGTTAAGAAGACAAAGATTAAGGAGCCAAGGATTAAAAAGGAATTAAAGAAGAAACGTTCTTATTCCGTGGCTCTTGGTAACACAAAGATCAAAAAAGAAGAGCCAGAAGACCTAGGAGAGGAGAACAGGTACAGGAAACATGAACAACAACAAGAAGAAGAGAATATTGAGACAAGTACAGAAGATCTTAGGGATTTGCATACCCTTCTTAAGTTACCGGTACCATGCAATGATCTATGTAACCTGCCTGAGAACCAACCGGCAGACCAACCGGCAGACCAACCGACAAACCAACCGGCAAACCAACCAGCAGACCAACCGGCAGACCAACCAGCAGACCAATCAACAGACCAACCGGCAGACCAACCAGCAGACCAACTACAGACTAATACCCATGAAGAGCCTTATATTGAGTATATTGCTCTCCGTACAAGAAGGCGTCATGTTCTACAGCAAGAAGATTTTGATCGGTCTGCTCAATATGGTATTTAGCCTGATTTATCTTATTTTCTAGTTACTTTATTTGACCTGGCCTTAACGCCTGCTTGATTATGTGTTTAATTACTATATACGGGTTTCAACACCTGCTTGATTACTGTTAAATTCTAATATTTAAGTCCTTACTATGTACTATCTAGTA